TAGCTTCATTAATGTTTTAAAAATTGAAAAATTTTAACTTTTTCAATGAAAATGAATTAAAATAATATAATTTGAAGTATTTTCTGTCTACTTTACAAATATAACTAATAAATATTTTTCTTTATATTTATTTATAATATTACATCATGAAATTATCTAATATAGTGGTTTAAAAGTAATTATTAGTGATTTTATTTAATTTAATGAATAAAACTATTTAAATTATTAATAATAATAATTACATGAAATATCTATTAACATAAAAATTTTATATATTACACTTATGCAAAATTTTAATTATTTATTTTTTTATTTTTAATAATTGATATTTATCATAATTTTTAAATAAAAATAATTATTTTTAATAAATATAAATAATTCTCAATTATTAAAAATAATTAATTAATTAAAATTTTATATAAATATAATACATTTAACTCATATATAAATAAATTTTTAGTCTAAAATCATTAAATATTAAATTAAATAAAACCACCTACCGAACCATTAATTTTAGATTGCTATATCAAGCACCTCCCATATTTATGACATCCACACATATTCTGCACTTCTGGGTGGGAACCAATCTGGGTAAGCTTGCGCGTCGATTATTTAATTGAGTGCGATAATGTAGTCAATGAATATGGGGTATGATAGTACTGGCGAGATGTGGGAGTGGGACCTTGATTTTAATTCTCACAGTGACTGATCTTCTAATAATCGGCGTTCCCCCGGTTCATAACTCAGGTGTAGTCGTGGAGAAGACTGCACCATGTGTATGTACGAACTAAGATGTAAATAATGTACTTGTACGTTACAGTTACGGTGGCATAAATTTTTTTTTATCTTGTACAGTAAAAAATAATTATTTTTTATTTTAAATTTATCTAAAATTAATTATTATTTTTTATTTTTAACATAAATAAATATTTTTTAATTTAATCATATATTTATCTATTTATTTATTTGTGCTGACAGTTAGTAATATTAAGCACAACTCCAAATAGAGCAACTAACTGCTCTTCATATCGCGATTCTCACTTGACTCAAATTCAAGTCCTTCTCATTCCCCCATCCCCCACAATGTAACTCAGTTCAAAAAAGAATATTAAGCACAACATAATGTAATAATTAATTGTCATGTACAATTAAAGTTCCTTTTATTTAAGGAAAAATAAAAAATTAGAACATTATAGCATTTAAAATTAATGTCAAGACGTATAATTACAATTATTAAATATGT